TAATAGATTTAAAAGAGTTTTGAAGTTAGTGGCGTACTAATTTCATGTTGCTTTCAAAAACCATTTTAGGCGACTGACTTCCAAATTATGAGAGCCCGAACATAGGCAAGATATTAACTGCGTTGCTGAATTATTCCGAATCATTCTCATGTACAGTATAAAGGTTTCACATGCCGTTTTCACGGATTTCCTTTCGAAGAGCGGGTACTACTGGCACGGACGGACGGGTTGCCTCCAGCAAACCTGCCACTCACCTGACGAGCTGTCGTGCGGGCTGGCCGTGTCGAGGTGCGGCCGCCAGCAGCCGGGGCCCGCCGCGCCTCCCAGCAGCGGAAAGGCGCCGAGCGGCCCGCCGAGTGCACCGCCCAGGGCGCCGCCCATGGCCCCCAGCGGGCCGCCCAGGCCGAGGTGCGCCAGCGGCCCGCTCAGCCCGGCGCGCTCCTTCTGCTGCCCGGTGAACATGTTGGGGTCCAGGATGTTCTTGACGGAAAAGGCGAGGCCGCGCCGGATCTGGTGCGAGGGCGGCGGGCTGGGCTGGCAGGTGGAGGGCGGCGACGGCGACCTGGCGCTCCGCGGGCTGTGGGGGCTCCGCGGGCTGCGCGGGCTGTGGGGGCTGTTGGACCGGGACCCGGGTGGACTGCTGAGGCGGGGACTGCTGCCGCCCAGCCGCGGGCTGAGCTTGCCCACGCTCGCGTGCAGGTGGTGGTGGTGATGGTGGTGGTGGTGATGGTTGTTGTTGAGGTGGAGGTGGTGGTGGTGGTTGTGGTCGTCGTCCGGGGCCGAGGACGACGCCATGGAGGAGGTGGGCGAGAGCCTGTCCTCGCAGGGGTGCTGCCGCAGCCCGAGCAGCGGCCGGCGCGTCAGGTCGACAGGCAGCGCGGCGAGCGAGGCCAGCGACGTGGCCTTGACGTCGTCCTTGAGGCGTCTCCGCAGCTCGTCCTCGTCGTCGTCCTGGACGGTGTCCATGTCGGCGGCCGTCTTCTTGTCGTGGATGGGCGCCACGGGCACGGCGATGGGCCGCACGAGCAGGGAGCCGGCCCCCGGCACGGCGTACACCCCGTGGCGCACCAGGTGTCCGGGGCCCGGCGCCGTCGGCGAGGCCGCGGGCGAGCCGGGCTGCTGCGGGGCCGTCGGTGGGGACGCCTGTTGCTGTTGGTCCAGACGCTGCATCATGATCATCGTCATCATGTCAACATGTCACTGACACTGGCACTGGCAACACGCTCGCGCACTATCGCGCTCACATTCACACACACGCACACAGTCACAGAACACTCACACACGCACACACTGACACGCGCGTGCTGAGCGATCGTCCTCGCGGGCGCGGGCCCGGGCGCATGCGTGTCGGCGCTGCGGGGACGCGCGCCTGTGTCGTGCGCTCGGCGGGGAGGGCTGGGAGGGACTGGGGCTGCGGCGGCGGCAGGCAGGCAACCCCGCGGCCGGGAGCCGGGCCGGCCAGGGCACCCCCACCCGGCCACCCCTGCCCGGGCTGCAGGCCCCGCCCACCCGGCACGGCCCGGCGGCAGGGGACCCTTCCCTAACCCTCCGCCCTCCGCACCGCTGCCCTCCGCCCCTCCAACCCCCTCGCATCCTCCTTGCGGTTTGTCCCTGTCCTTGCCTGGGAGATGGTAGACTCTCTCTCACGCTGACTCTCGCTCAATCTCGCTCTCTCTCTCTCTTACTCACACACACGACGGCCGCAACGCTTCACTCTCCCTCGAGTTTGTGTGTGTGTGTCTGTGTGAGAGAGAGTGAGATAGATAGTTAGAGAAGGAGAGGGATAGAGATAGTAGTGGCAGGCGCAAGTGAGGCGGAGGGGGCGGGGGTGACGCTTATGTACAAACAGCGACCGCAGAGAGCGCCGCGCGATTTCCTCAACATGGCGTAAAAGTGGCGAGCGGTGGCGCGCGTCGCTGCACGGGGCGGGACGGGGGCGGAGGAGGGGCGTAAATGATAGGGCAGAAACCACTGGCCGCGGCGGACGAACTGAGGCAGGAGTGGAGGCGTCGTGGTTCCCCCGCAATGTTTTAGTCTAGTCGGGCGCCGCGTGGCAAGTTCCAGGAGTTGAGTGCGCTTATTATTTTAAAACGTGAACTGATCTAGGCTATTTTTTACAGCTTACGGATTTGTTTCGACAAATTTCGATATCCCAATGGGACAAGGTTTCCAGTCAGCTTCCGAAGAAATTATGGCGTCCGTCATCGTCTCAGGTTTCGGCGGTCGCGTCGTTCTCCATATACCATCCAATCCACAAACTGCGGCGACTTTTCCAGTAAAACTCCCCGTGCGCCGCACACACCCCCTCTTGGCGCCGCTCTCTCTCTCTCGCTCTCACTCTCGCGCCGCCATATCAACATCATAATAAGCGCACTAAACTGTGGGACGGGACCGCAGCGTGCCGGCTGGGCCCGCCGCGAGGGCCGCGAGGAGGCGCTGCAAAGCAGGTGCTAACAGTCGCTCGACCCCGCCGCCCCTCGCCGCCCCTCGCCGCCCTGCCCCTCCCTGCCGCCGCCCCCTCCGCGGCACGGCGGCGCCGACCAATGGCAGCGGCCGCCGCGCTGAAGTGCCGCGCAGGCTCCTCCCCCCACTGCTCCTGCCGCCGCGGAGAGTGTCTCTCTCTCTCACACTCACACTCTCAGCTCGCGCGGCGCCACTTCATCCCCGGCAACCCCCTCGTCGATGTCGTTTAGGGGGCGGGGGGTGGCCGAGGGCGGCCGGGGGTGGCGCCGCCCCCCACCCCGCTCTTCTCGCCGCCGCCGCCCCACGCCGCCTCTTAAACGCTTCATTTACGCAGGGGTAATTATGACGCGGGGGTACTAAATGGCGGCCCGTTAGAGCGCCGCCCCGCCACGCCCCGCCCCGCCCCGCCACGCCCCGGTGTGCGGCGGGAGAGGAAACTTTGTGGCGCAGCCGCACAGCGTAGCACGTCCAGTCCAAGCCATCCGTCCAACGTGCATCTCTATTCTCTACACTGCACATCCGACCATGATGTCATTTACTCCCACTCCCTTTTGTATCCTTTGCGAATCGCATCCATCGGCATAGCCCATTCTACTTGATATTACCATATCGCAATACATACTTTTATGCCGATCTGATCCATCAATCAACTGTGTGTGTACGTCCAACATCACACTTCCATACATTTCTCTATACCTCCCAAATCCTTGCTCCGCCCACCACTGAACCAGAACCATACCGAACCACACTCGCTATAGCATAACAAGCCTCGTTATAGCCTCCGCTTCTGCCGCCGTCCTGCCGTCTCAGACCCGTCGTCGGGTCGGCCCGGCGCTTCTCCTTATTGGCCCTTTCTCCGCAATTCACCTCAGAAGAGCCATAGTCTCTGTTCGGGGCCGGAGCTCTCTCTGTCTCCTTCTCTCTCTCCCTCTAGATCTCTCTGTCTCTTATTTTGTGTTCTCTCTCTCTCTGTCTGTCTGTCTTTCTTCGCTCCCTCCAGCGCGCGACTCCTGGGGGCCCCCCGCCGGCGCCCGGCGTGTCCAGGGTAGGCACCGCGAGTTCGCCGCCGCGCGCCGGGTGGCCTACCCTCCGTGCCGCGGGAGCCGCGCCGCCGCCTCCGGCAGCCACTCCGGCGGCCTCCGGCTCCGGCTCCGGGCGCCTCTCCCATCCCGACCGAGTGCACCACTTTTCGCTCTGTTTGTGTTTCAATGGGCATTTGCGGCCGACCGACACGATACCCTCGAACCATAAAGGGAATCAGCGACGGAATCCACTTTAAAACCCCTGTGTGTGTGGCAGGGCGCCGAGAGAGGGGCCGGCCGCCGCCGCTGCCGCTGCCGCCCGGGCCGAGGGGAGGGCGAGAGAGAGCCTCTGGTATATTCAATCAACAGGCGAGGGGAGTGG